TATACATACATATATATACACACACACACAGTAGTCCCTCGCTACTTCTCGGTTTGTTTTTTGCTGAATTGCTCTATTGCGGTTTTTCAAAATAAGATTGGACATGACACACAATGGCTGACTGATGGATGAGCCGCACGATCAGCATGGATTTTTTTGAAAGTAAAATAAATTATTTTAAATGATTTAGCACTTGTTTGCAGCCCACACCTGTGGGAGAAGCTTTCTCCTGCAGCTGATCAGCTGATCTCTGTGCAGAGAGGAGAAGTGGGCGTGGCCGAGAGTGCAACCAGAGGCAGAAGAGAACTGAAATCATGATATTCTGTGCTCTTTTAGAGCGTTTAGTTTAGAAACATTGTTTACAATATTGCAAGAGTGTGGAAAGATTTTAACACCTTAAATACTAAAACCACTACTTACTACTTGTACTACTATTCCTACTTTACGGTTTTTCACTTATCGCAGGGCTTCAGGTTATGGATCCCCCACGATAAACGGGGACTACTGTACACGCACACAAAAACAATAAGCTGCCCTTTTTTCTAAAGTTTGGCATTGACCAAAGAAAACCATATATTGGCCAACTTCTACTATATTAGAGTTGTGATTACAACTACAAGGAACGTGTGCTAATTAAAAACGCAGACCTGTGTGAAACTGAAACAAAACTTGTCACAAATAGATTAAATCATACTAAATAAAGCAGAGTGAAAAATTACGTTGATAAGGGAGTAAGGTAAAAAAATAAAATAAAATCCACCAAAAACTGACACTCAAACAATAAGTCATGACAATAACGCCCTAAAATAATGTGTAGGACTAGAACAGTAAATTCAGTCCTTGATAAAAACAAGTCTGAAGTGCATAACTAGAAGAAGAACCAACACGATATACCCGTTATAAAAGCCTATATTTTTCACTTGCTATTCCACTCAGTAATTTCCTTCTTGTCTTTTATATTTATTCTTCCAAATTATAGCTGTGCTCGTATAAGAGGAGTGTTCTCATACAGGTAAGACAGAGCTGCAGCAGCTTGAGTAGTTCCTGAAGTAGCACAAACAGACACTCAACCATACGAGCCAAGTGTTTACAGTCAAACAAGATAAACCCCAACAGCAGATGTTTTATTGGTATATTCACTTAGGCTCGGGAAACATAGATGTGATAAGACTCATTAAAGTATTTCTCAAGGACCTTTTCTTTTGGTATAAACTAGTATTTCTTCTGTGGCTCTGCTCTTTCAAAATTTCAATAAAAAGGTGTAAAAACCCTGTGGATTATTTATAATGGACATAATGTAGACACCTCAGATACACAACAGTTAAGTCTATATTTTTTTTTTACTTGTTCCTTCATTCTTTCTCTGTCTTTCTAATCTGTCCTCACATTGCTCAGACCTTGTAGTTGTTCTCCTTGTTCTACGTTGTTTCACCCTCACTCCTGCAGGATTTTTTAATGTACGCAAGAAGTTCAAGTTCAGATGATCACCTGCCATTATTACTAAATAGCTTTGCTGCTCATAAGCAAAGTGAGGTAGTTATTACGCAACAGCAAGGTTTAAAATGGCTTGCCAGCAGCTGTTAGCATCAGATCAGTTACACCATGAAATTTCAACATTTAATTAAAGAAATATGCAGTTTTCAATTCTAGAGGGGGCTCTAGAACCGGTGTCAAATGAATAAAGAAATTGCTTCTATTTTTGGCATCCGGTAGCTCCAAGTAAAGTTTCAGTCATGAATAATAAGTTGCGATAGAATAATATTGTGTTCCTATTCCTGGAACCAGACTGTCAGGTTGTGTGTTTATGACCTGCTCAAATCACAGCACAGACATAAAAGAAAAATGAACTCACCTCCATAAACATAATCATCTATTGTACAGTCAGAAGGGCCCACCAAATGAATCAGACTGGACTGGCTGAAACCCACTGTGTGCCGTTCTGCAACGCAAACACACACGCAATCAATGAAAGCAAAACGAAACCAACAAAACCCTATTTTAGATTAACAACACCAACAAATCGCATGCTGTCTACAAAATATGAAGGCAATGAATGCTAAAAGCTGATGTAGTTTACATACCTTTAGGTGCATCTTCTATGTCAGCATAACAAAAATGAATAATAATGTAATGTCTTCAATTGGTACACAAACAGTGCACACAAGTACATTTATCAGTTAAAGCACTGAATTCTCTCGCAGTTCTGATACCTTTGTCTTTCTATCTAGCATGTTTGTAACAAAAAAAACAAGTCAATTAAACAAATTCAGATGGACTCATTTGCATTTCATATTTCAGAGTGTTTGTGTTTGACATCATGCTCTGTTTGTCAGTACTACTGCACAAGTCTGACAATGACAGAGCTGTGGAAACAAAGACACTTCACTGTGCTCTGTCTACACATCCTCGTGTTATCATAATCACTGACACCAGACATAAAACACCAAATGTACAGTGCTGTTTATCCTGCAGCAACAGCTCAGATGCACAGTATTTTCAGGATACTAAGATGGCAAACTGTTAGCAAAGAATATCAGGTTGTAGGATACCTGGGTTTGGTGGAGGTGGCATCACCTCTTCAAGTCTTGCTTTGGTCTCATGTCTCTCGATTTTCTGTGCTTCATAGCGCTTCCTGCCTTCTTCCTCTAGTTCCGGATTAGTATACTTTGGATAAAATATACAAAATAAAACATATATGTATATACAGTAGGTGCATTTTGTCTGTATTTCTGCAGGATTTTGACCTTAAACCCCAGTTTTTAGAGTCCGTATTACCGGTAAGTCAAATGTAACAGACGCAAAAATTTAAAATAATTTGTGAAAAATGTTTTTAATTTGACCCCTTTTAACAGCAATAACAACGTTTGCAGAAACTGATAATCACTACTGAACATGAGGGGGGGGGGGGGGGGAAGTGCTCATTCTCAGCTACAAAACAACTTTGAATTTTCACAAAATCTGGCAATAAAAATATTTCTCCAACTTTAGCCACTTTTCATCAATTTGATGTCTTTTTATTCCCAGTTAACCATCAATTTAATGCACTGGTTTTGTGTTTTAGACTCAAGATAATAGGAAACACTGTTGCCCTTCCCTCAGTGCTAACCATCCAACTAATATTCCCAGTGTTTATTATTTATGATTGCTTGCATCTGATAAACCAATTACTTAACACACCTGACATATCTGGGCTTACACACAAGGGCTGTTTAAATGTTTCTCTAATTTTAATCTACTTTTGGTACTTGGTTAAGAAACCTGATCTGATTTTAGGGCATCCTTAAGCAGATATATGACAAATTATTTGAAATTAATTTATTCCAATGAGAGAATTAAGAATACTGAAAATCATTACAAACATTAGTATAACTTGGTTAAATGGAGTGTTTATTTATTTATTTATTAACTAATAATCAGATGGCCTCTCTTGTGGCTTTTCTGTTCTAGATTTGAGCCTTCATTTTCTCCGGCTCTCAGCCGCAGTTTTTCTGTACCTTGATGGACGGCACCTCCAGAATCTTGTCAGCGTTCTGCAGAGAGCAGGGGACGTACCACAGTGCTGCCTTGTTGGCCAGCTTTTTTGTACCTGCAATCAAAAAGAACCAATTCAATCCTTGCAATAATACGATAGCGAGATTTTTCTTTTTTATTTTTGCTAACAAATAACCAAACATAAGGATTGCAAGCTAACAGTCAAGATGTTCTGACGTTTGTCAGTTAAGGAAACAATGTAGAAAAGAAATCTGAACTGGCTGTCATTCATACAAACATGTTTAATAACACCCCCCACCCCCACCCCCCACCCAAAAAAAAAGCAAAGCAAATTTTCTTTGTTGCTGTTTGTAGATTTGCTTTTTGGCTGCAAACAAAAGAGCATACAACTTATCAGGACTTTGAAGAAAGACAATTGTTCTTGCATTTTTAGAGAATCAGAATAAGCTTTATTATCATTGTACTGAAATACAGTTGAGATTATGTTCGTACAGTCGTCCGAAAGATGGGCGGAGTGCACGTTGCTGCTGCTCCTTGAGAGTGTTGCCCCTTCTCCTTTTTCAGAATACTTTTTAGATATAAAAGGGGAAAAGGCCATGAGGATAGATAGTGGTATTACAAAAAAGAGCTCTTCACACCTTGTCCTTATCAGGACACGATTTAAGACATCAAAAACCTCTACCAGCACATTTATAAACATGTTACATATGCATTTGACGACAAGTCGGTGAGATTTGTCCATGAAGCACTTCCAGATAGGCCATAGTCCTGATAAGATGTTGGTGTCAGCCAGTGCAGCTCTGATAAGTCTTCACAAAAGTTCTGGGGGGGTGCGATAGACAGAGTTTTCTTAGTTTACACATATCCCAGGAGAAATTTGATAAGTCGGCCTGCTTCGATGCCAAACGGGGGAGTCAGATTAACATAAGCCACAATCCGCCTTTGACATCATCCAGTCAGACTTGTTCCATCTCAAACTTGTCATAAATGCCGATAAAACCAAAGGGATGCTTTTTTCAAACAGGAAGTCGGTCCCATCAGTCCTTCCTCTGATTTTATCCTCAAATAGTGTCCCTATTGAGTTTGTCGATTCCTATAAATATTTTGGTTTCTTGGTCAACTCGCATCTCTCTTTTAAGCTCCACGTGGAAAACCAAGTAAGGAAACTGAAAGTTACACTGGGTTTCTTTTTCAGAAATAGATCCTGTCTAACTCTGAATGCTAGGAAACACCTTGTAACTGCGACTTTCTTTCCCTCCATTGACTACGGTGACATTATTTACATGAACGATCCTACAAGCACCCTGCAGATGTTGGATGCTGCCTATCATGGTGTGCTAAGATTCATAACTGGCTGTAACTACCGTACCCATCACTGCACCCTGTATTCACTGGTTAACTGGACATCATTAACTTCATGCAGACTCTCCCACTGGTACATTTTCATCTTTAAATCACTTCTTGGTTTGTTGCCTTCATACATCTCCTCCTACATGTCTCTGCGTGAGTGCAGCTACAGCGTGTGCTCTCAGGACATTATTACCTGCAGTGTTCCCTCAGTGAGGTCTGAACTTGGCAAAAGGACCTTCTCATACTCCGCTCCCGTTTCCTGGAATATCTTACAAAAATATTTGAAGCTCTAGACCTTGACCTCTCTAATTGGCTTCAAACATCTGCTAAGTTCCTGGCAAAAACGAATGCAGACATGTTCCTGTTTTTAGTTTTCTGCACCGCCTTATAATCTAGCTGGGGTTTTTTTTTCGCTACTTTTTCCCTTTTGACTGTCTTTTTGGTTGCCGTTTTATTTTAATTTGTAAACAAAAAAATCTGTAGGCCTCTTTTATGACTGTCTATTCTTGTCATTGTTATCCACTGTTGTCATCACTCTTTGTTGAAATCAGGTCTCTCTTGTAAATGAGTCCCCGAGGCTCAATGGGATTAACCTGTCTAAATAAAGGGTGAATGAATGAATTGTTGAGTTTTTCAGGCAAACTGTTTTTTTCTCATCAGCCTTGAGTCCTGCTTGTACTTTTGATCCAAAATGGCCAAATTTGTGGGCATTCCACTGGTCCGTGCTTATGAGCCTCTTCCAAGGTCGTCCCCAGCATGCTGATGAGTCCCAGAAGCTGCAGGTGGCCTACGATTCTCGCAAATCGCTTCCACCCTACAGTTTAGCTCGTAAATCAGCTGATTTTGAGTGCTCGAAGTACGAACAAAACCTTCACACAGACTCGGCAGTTTTGCCATGGCCAAAACTGCTGCCGCCATCTTCTTCATTAACCGATAACATACGAATCCACCGGTGCCAAAAAGAACCAACTAAAATCGAGTAAGCGTGCAACATGCATGGGTTTGTATCATCAATAAAGTCTCAAGTTTCATAATTTCTATACTGCATCTATAAAATGTAAAAAACATCAGAGCAGCGCACAATAAATTCTCTATATTGCGTGTACTGCAAGAGACAAAAGATTCTTGTGTCTGAATGCTGCAGATCTAGCTCTGTATCTCTGAAGAAAGTTAAGATCTGAAGGTGAAACTCAAGGAAATCACATCTCATAGCAGTCAGGTTGAGAGAGGTTGTCATAGTGATATCTTTTCTTCCCACACTTTGTCACTTAATTTGCTAACAGAAAGAGAGGAGCTATTTTAAGGTGGTGGTGTAATGGAACACAGGAGAGACAAACAGACTAAAAGTCGCACAGAGGCACGTTTCAGTAGAAATTACTGTCTTTATGAATTGGATACTTTAACTTGTGATTCAGTTCAGATGGCTACAAATTAAAACATTTTAGGTTGTTTCTTTCAAATGTAACAAAAAATGTTTTCATAGCATTGCTCAGTACTTTGAACAGCACTTAATGTGCACTGCATCAGCACACTTTTAAGGAAGGACCTCCTATAAGCAGAGGTGTCAAAACTAAAATAGAAAATTATTGTGTGCATTATGCTTTGTTTGTAAAGCAGCCAGTCTTTGCACATGCACAGGAAAAGTTACAGGAATGCAAAGAGTACAGAGGCTCATGGGGAAAAAAGGAAAAAAACACACACAAAAAAAAAAAACACCATTAGCATTTTACACTGGAATTAAACCCATGCAGGCAGCTGGGCCTCGTTGCCATGCCAACCGCACTTCTGTTCTCCTCCTCCTCCCATTGGCTCCCACCCTTGTCAGCAACCAGGAAGTTGCCCACAGGAGTAAGGAAAGGATATTTACATACCCCCGACTCTACCCAAGACAGCACGACTAGTCTATTATTAGCTCCTGCTGGAAGTTTTAAGTGAATTGCGCTCAAAGTGGAAGGAGGAGGGTGAGAAATGAGGAGACAAAGGGAGAAGCACCAGACTGACTCAGCCTGCAAAGAACCATTACCAGTCTCATCAACGACCTTTTCGTACCACAGCGGACCCAGGGAGCCGGCTTTGAATGTGGAATCCCACCCCAGCACAAGACAATGTTAATGTTTGACCATGACAATGTTTTTACTTCATCCTTTTCTCCTTCACAGAACATCACCCAAGAAAAGCACCCATTCCACCCCTTTGTTTTTCATATCATGGCACCTTACTAATGAAAAAATAAAACAGATATTCAGAAGATGTACATTTTTTGCTTTTCTAAACAATTTGCAGGAAAATATATTAATTGTTGTAAAAACGGGATTGTTGCATGCTTTGGTCTGACATGTGACTACTTTCAGTCACAAAAGCACGGACAGCTGGCTCGCTTATTAAGGATTAATGAATTATTTATAGGAAGATTTTGGCTGCATCTCCCATGAATACAAGTCCTTCAAATCTGCTTGTTCAAATGTCCCCACACTGTGTCAAAGTGCTCATCAAACCAAGTCCTGACTTTGCAAGGTTTTATGCTTATACGGGTTTAAAATAAAGAGCTCAATAACTAAATAAGGCCTGCGGCAGCCATGAAAGCAGAGGAGGCCGTGTTGGATAAGTAGCTACTCAAGTTTATAATCTGTGACCAAAACTTTAGAGTTTGAGCTAATTACAAGAGATTTCACATAATCATGGATTAAACTCTTAAGCATTTATAAGAACGAAAATATATAGCGCTAAAAAACCTCTAAAAATACAAGCAATCAAGCAGGAAACAAGTATACTAAACTAAAAACCCAAAGGCTATAAAACAGGGGGTATTTTAATGATGGGTGTTAGAATGAGGAATGTTTCTTCTAGTATGGATTATAGCACATTCAATCTCTTTTAATCCTGAGTGTCAATCATGAGATCATACCATTGTTAAAATTTCCTAAAAGCACTTTTTTTTTTCTCAAAGACTGATTAATCTTATAACCTAGTCTTCACTACTTAAAGCAGGGCTTCTCAAACTTTTTGGGTTCAGGGACCCCTTCATAACCCTCATGTTTTATTAAATAATTTTCTTCAATTTGTCTCTTTAAGGCAATGGAAATATACGTGTAACATAAACACTTAAGACCCGTTCTTTAATAGTTAATAGAAGTTTTATACTTTTAAACATGGAGTATTCATTCAAGACACAATTAACAAAAATTATAAATTTCAATTTCCAAAAATTACTGTTGTGAGAAAATTAACAACATCAAAAACCACTTTACCTATTCTCATATAGAACATAAATGTATGGCCACTTCTTCAAATTATTAATCTCTTTACATAAAACTGAACAGAATTATACAGAATCATAACAGCAGTCATACCAAGTAACAGGGCTTCATTTGTAAACCGATAGATGCCCGAATGAAAATAGCAAGTGTGTGTGTGTGGGGGGGGGGGTCCTTCCCCAGAAATTTTTGAATAAAGTAGATGCGATTTCCTGCATTTTGGTGTATTTT